TCGGGGCCCCTTGCCTTTGGCCGGGGTGCCCTTGGCCCTAGCTCTATCGTTGAACCGAGCGCAGGCCGCGCCCCAGTTGACCCCAGTCGGAGCGATTCGTCCATCTTCATGACATCACAACCGTGACTGGTCCAATCTCTGAGGAAGCACACGCGGGAATCGAGGTCCTGTCGCGCGGGGTCAGCGCAGATGTGGCCCGACCGCGTGGGATGCTTTATCGTCCACTGTTGCCATGCTCCGTTGATCTATTCACCGAGGCCCCTCTAAAGTCGCTTCGCGGTCTCGGCAGGAGCCTCGCCAATGGGGTTCAGTATGTCAAATCGCTCCAGCGGGGCTGTATAAATGTAGAGTCCGGTGACTGGGTCGATTAATCTTGCGAGAGGTCGGTGCGCGCACTTTTGTAGGGTGGCCAGGGGCCTGACCGGGGAGTGGGGAGGTCGTCGAAGATGGGGCGTGCGCGTGCGCGCGGGCCGACCCCAGCGGTCGTCAGCGTCCCAGCTGGACCACCCTGTCCATCCTGTCTAATGGCCGCTGCAGGGGCCGCTGCGGCTGGCCTCGCGGTGGCGGCGCGGGCGGCGCTCGCGCCAACCTATGCTCCAGTCAAACTCATCGCGCGTCGCATTGGCAGCCCGAGGTTGCCGGGAAGGCGGGGCTCCTCGTTCTGGAAGGCGCGCGGGGTTTCTGTCGTCTTGCCCAGCCAGCACTGGGGAGGCGCACGGACCGTCGGCGGGCGCGGCGGGGCTGCAGGGCATGTCAGCGGCCTCGGGGCTGCCAGAGAAGTCGACCTGTAGGACTGGCGGTTCCGAGCTCGGAGTCGGGGACAAGGCGATGGGGGCCCCTTGGCGGCCCCAGTGAGGGGCGGGTTTGTCGTCGTGGGAGCCAGTCGCCGAGGTGTCGGAGGCAGCGCCCCCGCGGCCAGCGGCGTCGTCGCCCCCAGCGGCGAGGGGGGGGGGGCAATCAAGTTGGTCTCTTGTTCGGGGGGGGGAGGCTCGAGAATGCTACGTCAATGCCAGATGTGTCAGCGGTTGGGCTCGCACGCCGTGGGCGGCTATCCTCGGGGGAGCGAAAGCTGGCTCCACGGGCTCGGGGAGTTCGGGTGCGCGGGCGGCAAAGGTGTGGAATTATGCCGGTGGGTCTGCCGTCTCAGCGTGCTTCTCGCCGAACCGTGCCCACTAGTCGTTGTTGCCTGCACAGCTCCTGCGCGCGCGCGAAGGGGACGTCCTTGGTCTGTCCTTGAGTGGCCCGGAGGCGAGCTTACCGGAACTGGCCTGCGTCAAGAAACCCACGAGGGCTTCCAAGGCGTGGCGTAGAGGGTGGGCCGCGCATGAACCATTGGGCAGCGCGCAGGAGCCATTTGGGCAGCATGGTGGGGTCGGTCGGGAGAACGCAGAGGTGCGTGACCACGAGGGCGGCGGCGAGCCGCTTGCCTTGCCAATGGAAGTCGCTGGGGAGACAGGTTGGCGCAACCCTGTCGCCGTATATACCCTCTTCAGGAAGGGGCGCAATAGGGGCGGGCCCGAGTTTTCGGGAGCCTCGGAGCCTATCGCGCTTCTGCCCAGCGGTAGTTCCCCCCCGCTGGTCGCCCAAGATTGGGCCCAGGTCGCGCGGGAAATTGACCAGTCTGACCTCGATGGGCCTAGCGTGCAGGCGGTTCCGTTCAATCTCCTCGGCGGCCTCCAGGTGATCAACGACGATGCATTGCAGCGCGGGTCCCTTGGGGGGGTCCACATGAGATAAGAGGTGCACCGCCTTTCTTGCTGAGCGGGGCAGGTTTGGCAGCAGAGGCTCGAGTGGGCACGAGCTCGCTGGGCAGCGACGGCTCGCCAGGCACTGGCGGGGCGGAGTGTGGCTTGGAGGCTGGGGGGCGGGGGTAGCCCAGGTGGGTGTCCCGGTCGAGCATGCCGTTAACGGCGCTGGGCTTGACGCCCCATGCGTGAATGAGGCATTTGCGGCGCATCCATGTGGCGTTCCAGCTGCGGTTATTCCAGACGACGGTACGGTCCTCCCACGCCGGGAGGCTATCCGCGCTCGTTTGCCGCGACTCCGCGTCAGCCTTCCATATATATATATATATATATATATATATATATATGTGTGTATATGTATATACTATTATATCTGTATATGTATAAAAAGAAAATGAAAAAAGAAAAAGAAAAAAAACGCCGAGCGCAGGCGCTCCTGCCTGCCAAGAAAGAGAGGGGGTCCCAGGTGGTCACCCGTCGCACGTGGCAGTGTAACACTTGGATACAGCTGCCATATACCCAAATCTGTCGTCCTCTAGGCGCGTGGGCGGTAAGGCGGTGTTGGCATTCTTTGGGACATGGAGGCCTGAGGGCTCCAGAAGGAAGTCTTCAAGGGCGCCAGGGGTCGCAGCGTGGGGGAGCGCAGCGAACGTGTGCTGGAAGGCAGTCAGGGGTAGTGTATCCACGGGAGGGGGCCTGGAGGGCTTCCTTGCGAGTGCAACGGCCTTTACTTTCTCGTGGAGAGAGTGGTCCGGGGACAGCTGGTGACCCTCCTTCTCGACCACGTGTGTCCAGCATCGACCGCGCAGCCATGTGCAGCCCAACCCGTTGGCGTGCGCCTGCAGGCGGTTCTGGGCAAGATGCGAGCGGATGGTGTCGCCAAGCCAAGTGCCGTCCGTGTGCTTGAGGTCGGGCTCCTCCTCCTCCTCCTCCTCCTCCTCCTCCTCCTCCTCCTCCTCCTCCTCCTCCCTCCCCCTCCCTCCAGGGCCAGCATAGGGGCCTTTAGCTCGAAGGGGAAGTTCTCCATCTCAGCGTAAGTCGTGGGGCAATGGGGGGCCTTAGCGGCGGGGTGGTGGTGGGCAGTGGTCACGAGCTTGCCCACCAGGGCGATCAGGCCCTCCCAACCGTCCGTGGAGCCGACGGAGGTTTGTGAGCGTGAGTCCCCAGGAGGCCGCGAACTGGGAGCGGAAGTGGTGGTGGTCGTTTTGCCAAGGGCAGCTGACACCAAGGATGGCTTCAAGCGTGTCCCCTGACCCGGAGGAGTCAGGGAAGGGCCAGAAATGGGCCCAGGGTTCGCGCCTCATGAGCAGCATGATGATGAGGGCGCAGCGGGATCTCTCGGTGGACATGATGCGTCCGTTCGGGTCAAGCAGGTCGACACGGTGCTGCGTGGTTCCGTCGCGGCCCTGTAGGAAGCTGACGCGGGCTTCGTGGCCCGGGCAGGCACGGTGGCGCGGGCGGGCCCTGGCCCCGTGGGGCCATGCACGGGGGACCTGGTGCTAGAGGTAAGGTGGGGTGCAGCGGTTTTTGTTCTGGGGTCTCCAAGCCTAGGGCTCCCAACTTCGCGCTTCGCGCTCCGCGAAGCGCGAAGCGCGACTAACTTCGCGCCCTCGCGCCGCCCCCCCAAAGGGAGAAGAGGAGGACGAGGAGGAGGGGGGAGAAAGAACGAGGACCGCGAAGCGCGAAGCGCGAATAACGGGGGACCTGGTGCTAGAGGTAAGTGGGATGCACAAAGACGTACTAGTACTATATGTCATCCTTGGACGCGCGCGTCCGACCCGAGCATATAGTATACCCATCTTGTAGTATATCGTTTCCCGAGCGGTGTGGCCAGAATGCGCCCGCCACAACGCATACACTATAAGATTCCTCGGTGCGCGCGTCGCCCCTGGGAGGGCGACGCACATATAGTATAAGTATGTTGGGGTGTTGCCGAGTAAGGTGGGGTGCAGCGGTTTTTGTTCTGGGGTCTCCAAGCGGCGCGGCCTTGGACCTGCGGCCAAGAAGCAGCTCGTTAGAAGAGATCCGGTACTGAGGGTTGTCCCAGGAGGTGCCTAGGCCAAGGGACCAGAACAGGGTGGCCCAGGTCATGTTGCAAACCAGATTGCCCGCGTCTAGCCCTAGTACCACGTGGCTCCACGCTTTCCTGTCGAACTGGGCTGGTGGGGATACGCGAAGCGTCAATAATTTCGAACTGTCTCCTCCCCATCGTCATCATCAGCATCATCATCAGCAGCAGCATCCTCATTAGCAACAACAGCATCATCATCAGCAGCAGCATCATCATCATCATCATCATCATCATCATCATCAGCAGTATCATCATCATGCCACAGACGTCGAGTGAGACCCCCACCGAGCCCCAGAGCCCCACCGAGCACCCACCTGTGGCAAACTGCATTGCGCATCACGCAGAAAAGGCGATCGACGCTGATACATGAGGGCAAGTGGTACCACTGCCATATGAGGCATCGTTAAAGGAGGAGGGCATGGATCATTGGAGACTTGATCATAAGATTCAGCCGCCTCTTCCTCCTCTTCCTCCTCCTCCTCATCGGAGTCATCAGCATCATCACCCCCCTCATCATCACCGTCATCACCATCATCATCATCATCATCATCATCATAATCAGCATCATCAGCAGCATCGCCAGCACCATCATCAACACCGTCATCATCAGCATCAGCATCAGCAGCATCATCACCACCACGAGCATCAGCATCATCATCATCGGCATCATCAGCATCATCATCAGCAGCATCATCGTCAGTCTCAACATCAGCATCATTACCATCATGAGCATCACCATCAGCAGCAGCATCATCAGCAGCAATATCATCATCCTTCTCATCCTCATCCTCATCATCCTCATCATCAGCATCAGCTCCATCATCATCATCAGCATCATCATCTCCATCTTCATCATCATCAGACTCATCATCATCATCAGCATAATCAGCATCAGCATCAGCATCAGCATCAGCATCAGCATCAGCATCATCAGCATAATCAGCATCATCATCATCATCATCATCATCATCATCATCATCATCATCATCATCATCATCATCATCGCCACCACCATCATCATCATGATCATCGTCGTCGCCATTCCCCGAGTCCTCCTCTCCCTCCTCATCTGGATTATCATGCACGCCCTCTTCCACGTAAGCTACAGGAAAGAGAAAGGGAGAGGGAGAGAGAGAGAGAGAGAGAAACAAAAAACAGAAGCAGAGACAAAAACAAAGCGTCGCCCATCAGGAGGCTCCTAGCGGCCATCAGGTGGGGCACGATTCTCATCGAGATGGGCTCCGTCGCCAGCAGGATCCTCTCGCCTGGGAGAGAGAGGCCACCGGGGACGGGCAGTCCCCGGCCTCGCCCTCGTCCGCGCCGCCGCCGCCGGGGGGGGGGGGGGGCCGCCGCCGTCGTCGGAGGGGACAAAGGCGACGGGGAAGAGGCCGCCGTCGTCGGAGGGGACAGAGGCGACGGGGAAGAGGAGAGGGACAGAGAGAGGGGGGGGGGGACAGGGGGGGGAAGAGGATGGGGAAGAGAGGGGGGAGGGACAGAGAGGGGACAGAGAGGGGAGCGAGGCGACGAGGAAGAGGCGAGGGGCAGAGAGGGGGGGGGGCGGGAGCAGGACTAGGAGGACGAAGGCGACCACACGCCGCGGGGGGGGGGGGGAACGATCGAGAACTGGGAGCACGAGGAGCAGAAGGACGTGCAGAGTGGGGTGAGTCGCCCATCCAGCTGGAGGCTCGGGCCCCTGACCACGGACGCCGCTCATAGCCGAGCGGCTGGCAGCCGAGCAGGCAGGGGCGTCGCGTCCAGAGCACTACTTAAGTCCAAGAACATGACTTAAGTCCAAAACATTATTTCAAGTCCAACAAGGTTGGTATTCCTTCCTCTCGCGCGATGCCAAGAGAGGACGTCGGCCATCACGTAAGTCCAACAGGCGACAAGCAAAACGCATGCCAGCCAGTCAGGTTGCGCAGGTTGCTTGGGCAGAGCAGGTACGGAGGTAGAGGTATGGATGTATGGAGGAATGATGGTATGGATAAGAAGAGGCAATGTGTTCGCCGACCTGTGGACGCCAAACACTAAGCACTGCACTAAGCGCTGCACAATGTGTTCGCCGCCTGTGGACGCCAGCTGCGGTTGTTGCACTAAGCACTGTACTCACTTGGGTAAGTGAAGAAATCAAGGTTGCGGAGAGCCCAGCTCTCCAGAATGGAAAACATGCTGGTAGAGAGTAAGGAGGACTCGAAGTGAAAGCGTAGCGGCAGCGTAGTGGCCGCTGGGCATGTTACTGCGTTGTCTACTCCAAATGTCGCTCCACGGATTGATAACCGATACTGTTTGGGGTATGAGATTAGTTGGAATCATCCAGTGCACGCAATGCCGAAGCAATGTTTCGCAACTCCCAGGGCGTGGGATCGCGTAGAACGCAAATGCACTTATACATTTGCGGAAGAAAGTTTTGGAAACAATTGGGCACGATCGTGGCCATTCTGAAAAAAAAGTGGTCAATCTCTGACTTGGCAGTGGGTTCCGTGAGATATGGCCGCCAAACTCAGAATGACCCAGTAGACATCTGGAACGCAATTCTTGGAGAGGCAAGGCTAACTGGCATTGGCCGAATCAAACTGGAATCCCCAAGCTTGCCGTCTCCAGGCGCCTGGTTGAAATATGCGCGACCCCGATGTCACAAAGAGACTTTCGTGTTCTCGAACGCATGGCCGTCGTCGCAGGAGTCGCCAGGGTCGTGGTCATCCATGCGCCGAGGCCGCCTCGGCGACGGCGCTGGGGCTGGAGGTCTCTCTGGCGAAGCCGACTCGGTCCGCGGCGAATGTCGAGCGGGTGGCAGCGACGATGGCATCCCGCTCAGTGCACGCATGACCGGCAAAGACATGGTGCTGTTGACCTCCCTCATCGCAGCCCACTTGACGGTCATCTGCCGCTGCCTCCGCCGAATGGCCGACTTGGATTTGTGGCTGTAGCCGGCCGCATCGTTCTCGCGCGACTCGCTGGGCATGAACTCGGGGATATGAGCGATGCGCTCGTCGAAGGACGGAAACTCATCGCGGGACGAGGCGGCCCTGGCGGACCAGGCACGGGCGGGCTCGGCTGCAGGCCGGGTGCGCGGCAGCCCGGCTCGCTGGACGGTCCACAGGCCCTCGGACATGTCCGCCCAGCTGCGACTGCCAGAGCTCGACGTCCAGTTGTCCTCGCTGCTGCTGTCCATGGAGAAGCCCTCGCTGATGTCATCCGCCTTGTCTGGCTTGACTGGGAGTGCGCCGGCGCGGCGCCCGTCGTCAGGTGCACGGCGTGCAGCATCAGGCACTCACTGCCCCTCAGGCACTCACTGCGCTGGTATAGCCTGCAGTAGCTCGCGTCAGGCTTGGCCATGCTACCTCTTCCGCACGGCGAGGCACGGGCCTACGAGCCTGGCATGCCGTCCTTGGCGATGCTCGGGGAAGAGGCCCCGCGTTCCCAGAGAAGGGAGCCTGAATCCACATGGGCTCTGGAGCTAGAACAGCCTTGAGCCAAAATGGCTACGGATAAGAAGAGAGTGCGGAGGAGTGGAAGTATAAAACTCTGAACGAATGCAGGTGCATGCAGCTATGGGCGCGCGCGGGCATGAATGAAGGGCCGCATGGATGCGTGGAGCCTGAGAGTGTGGGACGATGGATATATGGATGTATGGTGTTAAATGGTCAAGGACATCTGGAGGCATGGAACTATATACATATATACTATAACCATCGCGCGCGTTTCGCGCGCGCTCAAGTTCTAGCTAGACCCAACAGGCTAACGCATGGAATATCAATTGTTGAAGCGCCTTGTGCATCTAACGACCTTGTTGGAGTCCCTGCGCAAGCCTCGGAAGCGTATAGAAGGGGAAATGCGGAAACCACCAAATCATCAACTTCCTTTAGGTGCTCGATGATCTGGGGCCCTCGAAGGCTTCCTGGGATCTTTCTTCGATGGTGACGGGGCCCTTAATGATGGTCTGATGTGCAAAAACAAACGGGGGTAAAGTTGAATTGGCCCGGCGAAGGACCCAACCATATGCAGTTGTGAGCACCGCTGTTGTTGGCATCGTCTTCGGTGGAGGGCTCTTATAGGGCCACGAAACGCTGTACTGCATGGGGGAGACGCATGCGGACTACGCCGCTGGAACCTTCGGTGGAGGCCCCCTGTGGGGCCACGGAACGCTGAACTGTTGGGGGGAGACGCACGCGGGCTGCACAGCCGAGACCTCCGGTGAAGCTCCCTGTGGGGCCACGAAGCGCTGCACAGGTGGGGGAGACGCATGCGGGCTGCGCAATTGAGACCTTCGTCGGAGCACCCTATGGGGCCACGAAGCGCCGTGCTCGGTGGGTGAGACGCGTGCGGGCTGCGCAATGGAGACCTTCGTCGGAGCACCCTATGGGGCCACGAAGCGCTGTGCTGGATGCGGCGGGCGCATGCGGGCACCCCCACTGGGGCCTTCGGTGGAGCTCCATGGGGCCCTCTCGGGCCGTCCTGTGCGCCTCTGGCGCCGTCTTGGGGCCCTCTCGGGCCGTTTTAGGGCCGTCTTCGAGGCGGGGCTGTCTTGGAGCGGACAATATGACCTCTGGGGCCATTGTGGAGCGTCGGAAAATTGAAAAGGCGAGAACATGGAAATCCATCAAAAACCTTTGGACAAGCAATAAGTTGTGCCTCCCGGGGCTCCTTTGGAGGCATCTTGGAGGTTTCTGGGGGCGTCTTGGAAGCCTCTTGGATAGTCAGGGGCTAATTATGGCCGCCGTGGCCGTCTTGGCCGCCAGTGGTCGTTCCCGCGGTCTGGAAGCGCCATGCTTGGCGATCCGGGGCCGTCTCCGGGCGATGTTGAGGGCGCCCCCGGCGCCTCAGCAGAACCCCCGGAACCCCCCAGTCCCCCAATGGGGGCACAGGTTTGGGGGCCGCGGGCCTGTATACATATATATATATATATACACATGGAGAGAGAGAGAGATGCACACACAAACATAGTTACATACAGACACACGTACAGACATACATATACATATACATATACATATACATATACATATACAAATACATGTACAAATACATATACATATACCTATACATATACATATACATATACATATACATATACATATACATATACATATACATATACATATACATATACATATACATATACATATACATACACATATACATTTACATACATGCATACATACATACATGCATACATACATGCATGCATGCATACATACATACACACATACATACATGCATACATACATGCATACACACCAACATACATACATGCAGACAGGCGTACATACATACACACCAAGACATACATACCGATGCACTTACATACATATACATACATACATAGAAACAAACAAGCATACAGACATACATACATATAACAATACATACCGTATGATACACACATAAACACCTGACATGAACACATACAACCGTACATGTGCAGATACATGCGTAACAAATACAGACATGAATACGTAAGTGAACAACTCCAAACAGATCAGATGAATGAACGATATAAAAAAAAACAAATGCATTAAATTATCTGTGAATTCTAACTGCCTAAACCAGCAAACCCATACACACATACATACATGTATATATCTACACCAACAGCTCAATACGTGTGTATGTACATTTACACGTACACATGCATATTCATATACGTATCCACAAGCATAGGCATGCATATGCCTATACACCTGCACATAAGCATATGCATATGCATGTACATGTACATGTTCATGTACAATTACATCTGCATACACACATCCAACTACAGTATACCGTATACATTATGTAATATACATATTGTATACTATACATTAGACGTACATATATTCACATGCCAATACACATACCGATCCGTACACACAAACGTATACACATACATCTACACATACATATACATACTAGAACCACGCGCGCGCTTCGCGCACGCTTAGGTTCTAGCATGCTCTAGTTGTAGTCTACGAAGTGTTCGGCATCGGAGGACGTAGATTGTCACGCGGATCGTGCCACTCAGGAAGCTCATCCTGCGGCCCTATAGACGGACTTGGCGTAGCGTCCCCGCGCCCATGTCGGCACTCCTCACAGGGATCGCGCCCCACCGGGAGCTTCACCTTCGTCCGCAGAGGCAAGGTTCGCATAGAGGCACGCCATTCACGCGGATCGTGCCTCGCAAGTAACTGCATTTGCGGCACCATAGGAAAGCTTCATAGCGCCGCCCCGCTCACTTCGGCACCCCTCTCAAACAGATCGTGGCCCGAAACGAGTTCCACGAACG